TAACTACTTCAGACTTGACTAACCTCTCTTTTGATTTAAATGAGTTTAAGGTGCAACAAGAGTGTAAATTTGGATGACAATGTGCTCCTGATTGTGACATTTTATCAAATATTTCCACATTGTTTTGCTAAGTTATATGAAAAAGTAACGGTACCAAGGGAGATGTGTAGTCAATTATCACAGTTATATTCTTGTGGTACTATAATTTGAACATGGAGTAGCAAAGGAAAGTGGTTATTCTTCTTCTTTAGTCTTAGAGGTACAGCTGTTTCTCTTTCTCTATGGCCTCAACATTGTGTTGGTAAATTCCTGAAGGGAAATTAGATAAAAAGTTAATGTTGAGATTCATACTTTTAGGGCTCCCTCTCTTTCCCCTTTGTTCTTACCATTTTTGTGCAACTAAATTTTAGAGAAGTGGAGATAATAAGTTGCTTTTTTATGCTTTTGACTTCTATGTTTTGACACTGTCTCTCCTTTCCTTTTTATTTTTTGGGCTTTAATGAATTAGCCCGCTTGTTAGCGGGTGGCGATATGGTTTCCAGGTAGAAGCAGAATCACTGAGTCGTTCGAATGAGCTTGATGAGATGAAAGAAAAACTGGATTCTAGAAAATTGGTGATGGGAAACATGTCGATGCATTCTAAAGTTGTCAAAGAGAAAGTCAAGAAGCAAGAGGAGCAACTCAGTAATGACATCAGGTCACTGTTGGTTGCAGGGACTTCTCTTTCTGGAGCTAGCAAGCGCTTGCAGGTATCTTAGTATTTCAAAACTGTTTACTCCCCCCCTCCCCCTCTCTATATACATATATCTACATCACCTTCTATAAATGTGTTCCATCCCAAAAAAATGTTTAATGACCTGCTTTGCATTATTTGCAACCCATAGAAACCTTTATATGATTTTGAAATAGAGTGGGGCAATTGGAGATATGGAAAGCCTTCCAATTGATTCTTGTCAGATGATAAAGCCTGTCTTCGGAGTGGCTAGCGTTCCAGCTCCTTCAAATTGATTTACTCAACTGGTTTTCTATTGAATTCCTAATTGTGCTTCTTTAAGCACTTTTTAGCCGGATATATAAGGAATTTTCTATTGTTTAAGTGACACTGTTGGTTTATTCTGTGACGTCTCCTTTGATAGAGCTTGAGTGACACTCTATCTGTCCCTTTATTCCCCATACCCTCCTCCTTCTCGCCCCTCCTTTCTGCTTTAGCTTCGATGACTTTGGTGTTCTGAATTAAGAATATTTGTCAGATGAAAACAGTGTTGTGTTCGTCATGTCAAATGGAAGATTGAATCATAGAGCACGGAGACCAAAATATTCTGTTGTGCAATGGGTGTTTCAGCATTTTTTGATAGAAGTTTGTTCTAATCGGTGAAGGGCAAAGCATGGTACTTGGTTGTTGGTGAAATTGGATTATCTGTGAAAAAAGAATTATATTTTCTCTGTTGTCTAGAGTAGTTAATTGGCCTTGTCCTTTGGTTATTAAAAAAATTAGTTGGCCTTGTCCTGCATTTTTCTGGATGTTTCTCTATTCGCTGGTAATAGGGTTTTCATTTATTTTCTTCTGATGTATTACTCCCCCTTTGAGTACTTCACGGTGCCATTGGCCATCTGGACCACTGCTGGTTTCTGCTGTGGCCTGTGTTTTGCTGCTCCTTCGATACTTCGGGGCACCATGTTGACCACTATTGATTTTATTATGCTTTTTAGCACGGATTATCTTTCTAAGTTCCTTGTTAAGTTGAAAATTTTACATTGTTATCTGTCTGTCCTCTTGTTTTTCGTAACTTCACTTAACCATTCTCTAATTCCGAAAAGTCTCATTTTCTCCATGCAGGATGCAAGTAGGTCCTTTGCTGGAGAAAGGGGTTATGGTCATCTCAGAACTTTGCAGAGAGTATTCAGAATGAGACAACAGTATATGGTGTCTCAAGTTCAGCTGCTTTATCCTGTGAGGATTGCAATTGGACAGGCACCTGAGCAAGAACTTGAATTTTTCAACAACAGTTCCAACTCAGGTAATGGATCTTATGAAAAATGGATCTTATGATGACTTGTTTTGTCAATATTGCCACGTGTGCGCTCATGCATGAAAAATTTGAAAAAGGGTTGATTATCAAGGCAGGGTTTATCAAAAGATTTAGTTACCTTTTGATACTACATTATCACACCTTTCACTAGTTAGAAATAGGACCACAGTTGCGACCGAAAAGTCTTAGAGACAAAGGTTTAATAGCTTGGTCTGCTTCTTTTAGTATCAAACTTAAGATCATTGTGACGTGGCTGCTACTAGAGTGAATTTGAAAGCCTAACGTATGGAATGCTAGGCAAAGTCCTTGTTTCTTGCCTGGTATCTGGAATAGTTTCTTTTGTTGCAGCATTAATTGGACCTAAATTCTCCTTGATCCTTGCATTAAGGCATTATGTCGAGCAAAGTTGAAGACGTACACACAAGTGTTCGCACAAGAATCTATTCATTTGTCCTGAGAGCATAATCTCTTCGTTAGTGCGGATCGTTCTTGTTTGCTTTTATTGATCCATTTATCATAATAGAATTTTGAGTGGAGTTATAGTTGGAAGTGATATAACTAAAGGAGAAAATGTATCGAGGATCAATTTTTCTTAGTGAACATGGGGTGTATAAATATGAAGAATACCTATTTATAGGTATAAGAGCTACTCTAAAATATACCTACCTATGAAGACAATCCCACAAAGATGTGGGTAGTTCAGTGCATTAGTGCAGTGATTCCAGTCTTGAGCTCAAGATATTCAGTGTATTGAATATTCAATAGTGGTTTGCTCATAGATAGTTATGATGAAACTGTTGCCAACTTAGTTGAATGCTGTGGACACCTATATAAAGAGTTTCGTAATACCTTTCTCCTTTAGTTTGAATGCATCTAGGGCTACTCATTTTCATTTCTCCCCAATAACCTGACCTAATGTTGACATTCTATTTCTTTTCATTGGTTTGTTTTCGGGCTTCATTTTAAGAGAATCCATGGGGTTTGTTCTTTTTTGATCTTCCATGATCCTGCTCTTTTCTGTCATTTATCGACTCTCCCGCCCCTTTACCAGAAGCTGCATCAAGAACATCTCCACCTTGGCTGTGACTCAAGTTTCTGATGTTGGCCATCCAAGTTTGGAAGCTCAGTGCACTCTCCTGAGAAAATTTCACCTCTGTTCCGCGAAGCCTAAAGGCTATTGATTTGCAGATATTCATGAATTTCAGGAATGGATTCTAGTTGCTTAATTCACATCCTAGAAGAATCCTGCTTTGTCCTTTGGATGCAGTGATGCATATCATTGTTCTCTTTTTGTTTTGATCAGTTGATACATATCATTATTCTTAAGATGTCGTAAAAGTAAATACCTTAATTTTTGTTTCATTAGGTTTTGAGGAGGATTTTATAGCTGATGGTTCGAGTACTCTTAGTCTTGCTTCATTGGATGTCATATCTTAGAAATAGTGGTGCCTTCTTGCCTAATCTACCAAGTATTTGGTAGTAATGGTTTTTTGTTGTTTTGATCATATGTTAAAAATGCAAAGAAGCAACCCAGAGTAGATAGTATCGAATAAACAAAGCAAACACCCATCTAAGTTTCCTTTATTGCCTTTTCAGGTAACTCTGCTGGGTCCAAACCTTTAGACCAAGGAGCCTTGACCATTGCAGGTCTGCATTTAACTGTGTTCACGAAGATGAGTTTCTTTACTGATAAGAAGGAGGTTCAGAGGTCTGCAACTGCCCTGGGATATGTTGCACACGTGTGTTCTTTCTCTTTGCTTCACAACCTCTTTGTCTTAAATTGTATTTTTTTTTTCATTTTGGTTGTTTCATATTAATGTAGTATTTCTTAAGTTGTCCACTTCTCTGTGTCTTCTCTGTGTGTGTATTCATTTGCCTTGAAAGTCATTCAATTTCTTTCTGTGGAATACACCAATGGAAATTTTACCGAAAAAGGGGGAAATTGCCAATGATGCTTTGGTTCCCTTTTTGTCATTTTGTTGATCATTGTTTGTAATTTAACATTATTCTGCTAGTGTATATCAATCTAGCTTATCGATCTTCATGCAGGTGGTCGCACTTATTGCATCTTACTTACAAGTTCCTCTACGTTATCCTTTGAGGTTAGGAGGATCTCGATCATATATCCGTGATTATGCACCTTCAATAGAGCCTTCATCATCTGATTTAACATCTAGTTCCTCAGTTTCCGCAAATTCAAGGCCCGTGGAATTTCCTTTATTTTTAGAAGGCCAAGATTCAACAAGAGCGGCTTATGCTGTATTTTTGCTGAATAAGGTCTGCTTTTTTATTCTCTATCTCTGCATATTTTTTCTCACGGCCTTGTAAGAGTGTTTAAAATCCATGCACGAGAGAGAAATTAATTCTCCATGTACTGTCTTTTCAGTCAATTGTACGATGCAAACTGCTAAGTGTTCAATGGAATTGGATCTCTGATGCCACTTGCATTTTTTATTAGATATCCGTCTTTTGAATGTCGGTCTGGAAATTAATCTTGGTATATTTGTGGAAATTGCCTTGAAGCATAAGAAGAGAAAGTTGTAAAACAGTCTCCTTTCCCTGACATATCTGTCCAATTTGATTCCGAGATGCTAATGAAGCGTGGAGTCATAGTATTGTTATCCACCATCAATGAGACGCTATGTTATGTGATCTTCTTGACGTAACTTTGCTCTCCTGTAACATTGAGAAATAATAAGTTATGATCCCATGAAGAAACTTAGAAAGCCAGGTGGAGGCACTCCTTTGTATATAGGGTCTCATTTTGTAACCTTTTAATAGTAAAACCATTTTGCAGGATTACTACTGATTAGCAAAATTTACACTTCCAGAAAAAGAGAGTGGAATTTGACTATTGTTCCCTTTATTTTTCCACTTTCCACGTGCCCAGGACAAATTATTTTGCACATGTTAGTAGATGCTTGCACATGTTAAGGTCTGCGTACACACTACCCTCCCCAGACCCCACTTGTTGTTGTTGTAGTAGATGCTTGAGATTGTCAATGAGGTCTTTCAGCTTCAGTTCTTGCCGTTCATACACTTTGACTTTTGTTGGTGCAATAAAATGACTTGTACAAGAAATCTTGTGAAGTTTGCTGACATGCATTAATTTTTTGTTTTTGGTATTTTTGGTTGAAGTTAACATTGGCAAGTTTAATTTGCGGACAGACATTAATTTTGTTTGTTTTGCTTGTGGTTCAGCTCTTCCCCGGACCCCGCGCATAGCGGGAGCTTACTGCACCGGGCTGCCCTTTTGATATTTTTGGTTGAAGTTAACATTGGCATGTTTATTTTTGTTATGCAGGATTTAGAGCAACTTCTGAATTATATTGGCGGCAGAAGTTTAGGGCCAAGACATGTACTTGCTAATTTGAAAGAGCTTCTTAGGACAATCCTTTCGCCCGAGTATATAGACACATGATTGTGAGATTTAAGTTCATGTAAAAATGTACATCATTGTTATTTTTTTGCAGGTGCCAAATTTTCACATACAGCACCTTGCCTCATACCCTTTGTCTGATCTATATATTAAAGACATTGAATCCTAAAAGAATTGTAATGGTTTTGTTGGTTATGCAATTGTATCTCTATCATTAAGGGTGTACGCAGTAATTTTTGTAAGCGGTGTCGAAATTTATAGAATGGGAATAATAACTTTAATTTATCATACTTTTAGCAAGAAATAGCCTTAGTCCATTGGTTTTGTTGAACTTTAAGTTAGAAAAGATCTCGAGTTCAATTCTTCTACTTCATCACAGTTTTTAATCACACAGGCTCTTTCAAATATTTACAAAAAAGATGTGCTATTTGAGATTTGAACCTCAGACATCTTTGAGCAAAATAAAAAACATAACCAACGCCGAAAGACAATTTATGTCAAGTTGTGTTATTTTTTCCTACTTATCCGTTTTCTCACAGTATATATTAATACATATATTTACTAAAATTTTCCGACGAAGCGGTATTCCATGACACAACTTCATTAGGCGTGCATCCGCCCTTATTTATCATGGCTTCTATATTACTGTATTCATTTTTCATTATTGTTTGTGCTTATGCTTTTCTTGAGCCGAAGGTATATTGTGCTCTATAATTTATTTATTTATACGTTATTGTTGTTTCCAATATAAAAATATTAGTGTTTCCGTAAAGCAAAACTCTAGGTCCGCCATTGGTGCAAGTTGTACTTTTTTTCTTATTTATTTTCAAAATATACTTTATGACACTTTAACGTGCTAAAATATAATTAAACGGCTCTCCGATCTGAACCGTTCACTTAAATCTGATATGATTTTTAATTGGTTCTTGAAAGTAAAAAAGAATTCGTTTAGTAAATAGCAATTTTTTACTCCATATATAGAAGAAAACAACGAAAAATATCCAATATTAGAAATAAAATAAGATAAATAAGGCTATGGGTATTGGAAAAAACTTATGAGACGGTTAGAAAACTGTTATCCGGGAGGTGGGGGGTAAGGGGAGAAAATAACAAAATTAAAAATTTGGAGATAAATTGTGAGCCACCCGTATGATCTTGAGTATTTACGGCCACCAAAGCTCAAAGAATGAATATATGGGTAAAGGTCGTCGTAAACCCCGTAGACGACAAGTTCACTAAGACGGGTCCCCACGCCACACTCCGCCATTTTCATATTCCCACCAAACCATTGACTCTGATATCAGTTGTTGGGCTGAAACGACACAAAGATATTCATAACATAGTGATATTATCCGTCTTGGGCCAAATCCACACAGTTTTTTCCAAAATGCACTATTAAAAGTTTCCAACTTCTTATAAGTAGCTTATTTTTCCTTATTTTCTTTGTAAGACTTTGTCCGCACACACCCAATATCATATTGACCTCTCAAATGACTATTTCTTTTCTTCCATCCTTTCAGCGATTCGCAAAATTAAAAACTTCATATGAGAATATTTTTTCACCACTAGCAAGAGCACAATGTTAATTATTTTTGGATGTAAATTGGACCCAAAAAGAGTTATAGTTTGGTTGTACACTTCTTCAATTTCTCTACTAGTTTTAACGAGTTTCAAACAAGTATGATTTTCTAATTGGCAGGTGCAAGTAATAATAATAATAATAAAAAAAAAATAATATATATATATGTGTGTGTGGGGTTTTCTACCCGGTGTCCGGTACTCACATTGGAGTCGGATTATATCCAGATTCGCGCCACGTAGGGCCTCATTCGGGGGGAAGTGCTCCCTACTTTTCCAACCAGAGCTCGAACCCGAGACCTCTGGTTAAGGGAAGAGCAGCCCCATCCGCTTCACCACATCCTTTGGCGGTTGTTTCCCTATATGTTTACTCGTAGATATGAATTTTAATACATTAGATGAAAATATAAATTGATTAATTACACAAATAGCCGGTCGAATTTACTGTTTATATTTTTTAGCCAGTATACATAAATTATATATAATTATACACATATTATATATGGATTATAAATATGATATACATTCGCCGACTATTTTAAGTTTAAGCGTTTGGGTAGACGCTTATTTAGGTTAATTTTTCTTTAAACTTTGTGTATCAACCGATACAAATGAGACATAAAAACTAAACATTAACTCATCAAAATTGGAAGATTAAGGGGTACTTATGTCTTTTCATTTATTTAATCTTGTTTCTAGTAATGCATATGTTCCGAACATAATATGTGACGTCGCATTCTCGGTAGACGTGGTTACTGTCATGGGCGGCTTTCCAGCCATGCCCCATGACCCCTTGGACGCGCCCCGTGGCGTCC